AGACACTCAAAGAATGCTAATTGTCTGCTTGAGTGTTAAATTACATAAGCCATGTAAGGCTTCTAGCATATAACAGACTATTTTAATAACCTCCCTTTCATTTTCCTCCCTTACCCACACCACCCCCATCTTAAAAGCCCATTATGGCCTGGATCTTCAACTGATGTCTCAGTGATGCTTACCAAACTGTTCCAGGGTAGCAGGTATCACCAACACCTGGACCTGAAGCACAGCCTGCCTTTTTCCCCGAGTTCTTGTGGTCAAGTTACTTGCAGCATGGGCAGATAAAGTGGGCACATAAAGAATATGGGTCTCTCCAGGACATCCCCAAGCATCTAGCACTCAATAGATGCTCAATAAATAGTTGAAGAATAAATGAAACCACTAGAGGGGGCTGTAAGCTAAGGGGTTGATAAAAACTGTCAATAACGCTGCTTACTCTCACTACAGCTAATAAGAAGCCATGCTTATGGAGTAAGTCACTTAATAGTTAAGTTTAGGTATGTTAGTTTAGATAGTCGGTCCTCAAACTAGGGAGTGAGATCTGCATGACTCAGCTTAAGAGGGCGTGTGTGCCTATGTGTGTGGGCTATGTGGAGTACAACATAACAGGATAAGGCAGGAGAATGAGAGGTAAAGCAAGATTAACTTGGAGCATTAGGAGAAGAATTAAAGAGGGAAGCATCTAGAGAGAAGCCTTTATAGTTATAAGATAAAGAGAAGATATGAAATGATCTGAATGTTCAGAAATTTACTGCACGGCATTCTTAGCCAAGAATTTTCTGACAGTTGCTAAAACTTGCTCAGTAAATATAACGCTGAAAAAATGGCACACAGGCAAACATTCTATTCTTCAGAACAGTATGAGCAACTGTGAGAAAAAGAACAGGGAATAGAGGTGGGAACAGAGAAAATGGATCAGAGAAGTGTTTTACTTCTAATACACAGATTAAAAATGATTGCTATCAAATCAAAGTAACAAGGGAATTTTTTTACACTAACATCTCTTGTCTACATTTCGGTCAAGAAAATCCAACACTAAAAATGAAACAAAACCAAAAATCATCATTCTGATTTTTTTCATCTCAGATCTCATTTATCAGAAAGTCCAAGGTAGAACTAACAAGATGTAGAAATACAAGCCCAACCACCACCAAAAAAACCCCAGCAACAAATAATTCCATTTGTAACCTCAGCTCCTTAGTATATATTTTTAATGATAATGAATTCAGAAAAGAACAATTCCTTCTGCCCGTTTTTTGAATGTGGTGTTTGAGGAAACAAAATAAAGTAACAGTAATAAAATGAACAGCTGGAAGGAGGAAAGCCAGCACGAAAAACAACAGCTGAGAAGGTTCACACACACATACAAGAAAAAAAGACCATCCTACTTCATATATCAAAACTAAGACCCTTAAACAGAATAATGGCTATGTAAATCTAATAAGAATGAATACAGTACTTTTAAAGAAACGTGTGAACATTATCTTTAATTTGTGTTCTGTGAGGTAAGTTTATAAACTATCTATCACACTCGCAAAACTTCCCTAAATGATAAGATTATGGTTGAAAAGTTAAAATTCTCTTAATCATCGCATCGCCTTCTAAAAAAGATGAACATTTCAGCTTAAGAGTTTTCTGCTTCAACTTCTACCCCGGGGTTAGTGTTTTCATACAGAGAAAAAAATGATAAAAGTGAGCATGAATCTGAATAAAAATTGGTATATTTTAGATGCTAAAATTTAAAAAATTAAAACGTGATCATGTTTAACAAAAACTTCTGATCTACTTCTGACCAACTAACTCATTTGATTGGGATTAGGTTTTTACCTTCTCTAACAGAACCTGAAACAAGCATAACAAAAATGTCAAGGAAATAAGCAGTGGCTTCAACACAGTCTTACATGTACATGCAGGTCATAAAACCAAAAACCAAACCTGCTGCTATTGAGTCAATTCCAACTCACAGCGATACTAGAGGACAGAGTAGAACTGCCCCATTGGGTTTCCAAGGAACAGGTGGCGGATTCGATTTGCTGATCTTTTGGTTAGCAGCCAAGCTCTTAACCACTACACCACCAGGGCTCCATGTAGGTTATAGGCTCATGAAATAAAATAGGCAAAAAAGAAAAAAAAAATTTGTAAAATGAAAATGTGATCCAAAATTTAGTTTGGCAATTTCTTGAAAAGTTAAACATAAATTTACCATACAACCTATTAACCCCACTAGCAGATTTCTACCCAAGAGGAATGAAAATCTATGTCCATACAAAGATTTGTATGCAAATATTCTAGGAGCTTTATTCATAATAATCAAAAAGTAGAAATAATCTAAATGTTCATCAACTGATGAATGGATAAATAAGATGTGGTATATCCATACAATGGAATACTATTCGGCAATAAAAAAGAATGAAGTACTGATACATACTACAACATGGATGAATTAGTGACAGAAGCCAGATAAAGATCACACACTATATAATTCCATTTATATGAAATGTACAGAAAAGCAAAATCTTTAGAGACAGAAAACAGATTAATAGTTGCTTGGGGATGGAGGTGGGAAAGAGAGTGACTGCAAATGGGCACGAGAGACCTTTTCAGGGTGACAGATATGTTCCAATAATGGATTTTGGTGATGGTTGCACAACTCTGTAAATTTCCCTAAAAATCATTTAATTGTACACTTAAAATGAGTGAATTTTATGCTATGTCAATTATACTTCAATAAAGTTGGATTAAAAAATATATCCACTATGGTACATAATACAACATGAACAAATTTAAAGTGTACAACTCAGTGAATTTTTAAACTATGTATACACCCACGTAAGCATCACTTAGATCAAGATGTAGAAATTTTCCAGCACTTCAGAAAGTTCCCTTGTACCCTTTCCAATCATTACTCACACTCTACACACAAGAGGTAACCACCAGTTTGCTTTCTATCATTTGATTAGTTTTGTCAATACTTAAACTTCAATATAAAAGGAATCACTCAATATGTACCATTTTATGTCTGGTTTTTTTTTGTTTTTGTTTTTGTTTTTTTTCCTCAACATATCTGTAAAATTCATCCACGCTGATCTTGATATCAATAGTTCATTCTTTTTATTGCTGTCAAGTTTTCCATTGTATGACTATACCACAATTTATCAATTCCCCTGTTAAAGGACATCTAGTTGTTTCTAGTTTGGGGCTATTATGAATAAAATTGGTATGAACATTCTTATAGATGTCTGTCAATGAATATATGCACTCATATATTGGGACATAGGTAGGAGTGGAAGTGCTGGTTCAAAGGGAAAACAAATGTTTAGCTTTGGTAGAAACTGCCATGAAGTTTTCCAAAGTTGTTATACAAGTTTACACTCCTACTAACAATATCGAAAAGTTCCAGCTGTTCCACCTCTTCACCAACAGTTGGTATTGTCAATCTTTTAAATTTTAGCCATTCTGCTGGGTGTTAGAGGTAGCCTGGTATGGCTTTAATTTCCTTTTCCTCATTAAGAATGAGATGGACCACATTTTCATACATGTACGTCAAGATTTTTGTCGTATTCCTTCATAGAAGTTCTTTATTTTGGATACGAATTTTTTATCAAATATATGTATGGCAAATATTTTCACCCAGTCTGTGGCTTGCCTTTTTTCTGTCTCTTAATGATTTCTTAAATACGCACAAGTCCACAATTTTAATGAAGTAACTAATCAATATTTTCTTTTATAGTTAGTGCTTACATCCTGTTTAAGAAATCTTTGCGTATCATGAAGATATTCTACTATGTTTTCTTCTAGAAGTTTTATTGTTTTACCTTTCCCATTTAGCTCTTTGATCCATACTCATAATAATTTTTATATATGAAGTCAAGGTTCATTCGTTTTCCCATAAAAATATTCAATTGATAAATCAAAACCAGTTATGGTCAAGTCAATTCTAACTCATTGCAACCCTATGTGTGTCAGAGTAGAACTGTGCTCCATAGGGTTTTCAACTGCTGATTTTTTGGAAGTACACAGATTGCCAGGCCTTTCTTCCAAGACACCTCTGGGTGGACTCAAACGGTCAACCTTTCAGTTAGCAGCCAACAGCGTTAACTCTTTGTACGACCCAGGGACTCAGTACTGTTTATTAATAAGACTATCTTTTTTCCACTGGACTGCAGCGGCATCAAGGTTCTAAGTCAGACGAGCACATCAGTATGAGTCTGTTTCTAGAGTCTGTTCTGTTCCATTGATCTATATTATCCTCGGGGAAAATGACACTATCTTAATTACTGAACCTGTATAGTAATTTTGGAAGTAGTGCTGGTGTCACAAATGGTTAAGCGCTGGGCTGCTGTTTACTGAAAAATTGGTGATTCGAATTTACCCAGCCACACCTTCTGTAGGAAGAAGACCTGGAAATCTGTTCTCATAAAGATTACAGCCTAGAAAACCATATGGGGCAGCTCTACTTTGTCACATGGGGATGTTAGGAGTTGGAATCAACTCGACGGCATCCAACAAAAACAAAAACATAGTAATTTTGGAGTCTCTGGGTGGCGCAGTTAAGCACTCAACTATCGACCAAAAGACTGGCGGTTTAAACACACCCAGAGGCACCTCGAAAGACAGGCCTGGTGATCTGCTTTGAAAAGGTTATAGCCTTAAAAACCCTTTGGAGGACAGTTCTACTTTGCAACGCATGGGGTTGCCATGAGTTGGAATCAACCCAATGGTAACTGGTTTGCTTTATAATAATTTTGAGCTAAAGAATATTTAAATGCATAATTTGCTTTAGAATTTCAACTTGTTCTTGTAAAAGAGATAAACGCCAAAATTTAACTATTTCACGTCTTACATGTCATCAAATACATATTTTGAAGGAAAAGAAAACTTCTTTATCAGTAGAATGGAAAAGGGAATATTTTTCACCCCACAAGACCTGCAAAATCTACATGATCTCTTATATTAACTGCAGAAGCATGTTCAATTCCAGAATGAAAACGCCTTACCTGAGTAAGGTAGATCGTATCTCTGAAAGCATGTAATGGATCTGTACTTTGGGGGAGTTTGAAATGAAGATCAGCCTGATAGAGCATTTCAGTGTTACCACGTGCATGGTGTTGTCGATGAAGTGAAAATTTGCTCCTGAAAGACCAGTCCGCTTTAGAGGAGACCTTTTGGATAAACAGAGTTAGAAATTGGAATGTTTGCAGCAAAACTACTTTTCTCTATGTTGACAAAGTTGGAAAGCACTGTACACCCTGTAAAAGATGGTGAGGTTTGTTCTGTAACTCTAATTTCATAAATGTTTTTGCCATCATACTTGTTATTGGTGAAAGACTAGCCTTTTGCAAAGGTGATTTGGCACCTACACTGTCCCTTCTTCCAACTTGTTGTTGTTGTTGTTAGGTGCCGTCAAGTTGGTTCCAACTCATAGAGACCCTACAGGGCAGAGGAGACCGGCCGCATAGGGTTTCCAAGGAGCAGCTGGTGGATTCCAACTGCTGACCTTTCGGTTAGCAGCCAACCTCTTAACCACTATGCCACCAGAGCGCCTCTTCAAATCTAGACAGTCACTTTTTGGTTTTTTTTGGTATTTCTCTTTCAAAAGCCTGGTCTTATAAGAATGTATACCTGGGTTTTGAAATATTCGTTTATGTTTATTTTTTAAAATGCTATTTTATCTATTTAGGTAAGCAAATTACCAAACTTAATAATGAACTGGAATCAATGTTCTGTTAAAATTGTCACAATTCTTTATCATGAGTAAAATACCACTATTAAGATGATAAATGATTTACAGCTTGCTCATCTGTTTCTCAGAGATTACTAAACATAACTGATATACACATGCTTAGTTTTGATACAGCTGAAGACACAAACCAAACAATAATAGGCACTCTGTCCCTCTATGACTCTGTCTCTTTTTCAACCCAGGCAAAATGTAAAGAGTCTCTTCTATCCCTTTGAGAATCTATCATCAGCTCAAGGTAAAACAACAAAACAAAAAACACCACACACAATGTTGAGATTGTATCTTTACAGGAAAAAAAGCAATAATTCTGGCTTCTAGGCCTATGATTTAAGGCACTGTTAGCACTTGAGAAAGATATAAGACAATCACTGGTTACATCTGAAAATATCCAGAGTTTCAATCCAAGTTACACAAAGACTTTGAAAAACATCTCCCTGCCCCGCCCAAAAAAGAAAAAGAAAATGGAAAAGCTTAAAACCTGTTCATGAAGTATGACTTTGAATTTGCAATTACCTTAAGGAAGAAGTTTTTTGTTAGGAATTTATACCAAAATGTAAGAAATTGTATATTAGCCAGATTTAATTGGGAATTTCTTCAAAATTGTAGCTATTTTCCAAACTGTCACCACCAAAATGATTTAGAGAACACTAACTACTTCCGGAGCCCTGGTGGCGCTGTGGTTAAGAGCTCATTGCTAACCAAGAGGTCAGCAGTTCAAATCCACCAGCCATTGCTTAGAAACCCTATGGGGCAGTTCTACTCTGCCTGATAAGGTTGTTATGAGTCGGAATTGACTCAGTGGCAACGGGTTTGGTTGTGGTTTTTTAAAACTAGTTCTACTATTTATTTAAAACAGAGGTATTAATATATATAATCACTTGTTCATATTTTACAGTCATATACCTTTATTATCTTCCCTTCTTTCTATGCTCCCTCCTTTTAAAAAGCCTCGCAGCCCTCTGACTGGTAGTGATTTGAATCTATCCCATGATCAGTAAACCTGATATTCAGTTCTGTGGGAAGTTTTCTACCTTCTTGCCACTAGGGAAGAAATCGTGTAGATTTTTGGTAACAATGTTACCAGAAGGAATTGGAGAGTGCCAGGCACTGTTTTAAGTAATTTAAAAATATTAACTAATTTAATTCTCATAATAACCCTATGAGTAGGTACTATTATCACCTCCATTTTGCAGATGAGGAAGCCAGGCATGGAAAAGTAAAGTAACTTGCCCAAGGTCCAAAGTTAGTGAAGTCTAGCTTCAGACTTCAGCTCTTTAAACCGAGATGCTTCTGAAGAAAATAAAACTTTCATAAATCAAATGGCTAGAATGGACTATATTACTAGTAATGATAGCTTACATTTTATGAGCTCTCACAATGTATCAGGAGTCATGCCAAGTGTTTAATGATTAATTAACATACTCTTTACAAACACATGCACACGCAAATAATTGCTCTATTTCTCTCTCATACACACACACACACACAAAGACACACATTTCTATGAGGTATTCACTACTATCAACCCTATTTTACAGATGAGGAAACTGAAATTCAAAAAATTAAATAATTTGTCCAAGGTGATACAGCTAGTGAGTGAGACTTCTAGTATTCAAATCCAGGTCTGTTTGAGTCCAAAGTTCAAGCTTTTAATCTCTAGGAAATACTGAAAGAGCTCCCTGGGTGGCACAAATAGTAAAGCACTCGTTGTTGTAGGTGCCGCAGAGTGGGTTCGAACTCATAGCAACCCTACGTACAACACTGCCCAGTAGTGCGCCATCCCCACAATCATTGCTATGTTTGAGTCCATTGTTGCAGCTACTGTGTCAATCCATCTCGTTGAGGTTGCTCCTCTTTTTCACTGACCCTCTACTTTACCAAGCATGATGTCCTTCTCCAGGGACTGATCCCTCCTGATAACGTGTCCAAAGTATGTGAGATGAAGTCTTGCCATCCTTGCTTCTAAGGAGCATTCTGGCTGTACTTCTTCCAAGACAGATTTGTTCGTTCTTTTGGCAGTCCATATTCAATATTCTTCACCAATACCATAATTCAAAGGCACCAATTCTTCTTTGGTCTTCCTTACTCATTGTTCAGCTTTCACATGCATATGAGGTGACTGAAAACCCCATGGCTTGGGTCAGGCACACCTTAGTCTTCAAGGTGACATTTTTGCTTTTCAACACTTTAAAGAGTTCTTTTGCAGCAGATTTGCCCAGTGCAATGTGTCATTTGATTTCTTGACTGCTGCTTCATTGAGTGTTGATCAGGGATCCAAATAAAATGAAATCCTTGACAACTTCAATATTTTCTCCATTTATCATGATGTTGCTTATTGGTCCAGTTGTGAGGATTCTTTTCTTTAGGTTGAGATGTAATCCATACCGAAGGCTGTAGTCTTCAATCTTTATCAGTAAGTGCTTCAAGTCCTCTTCATTTTCAGTAAGTAAGGTTGTCATCTGCATAATGCAAGTTGTTAATGAGCCTTCCTCCAATCCTGATGCCCCATTCTTCTTCAAATAGTCCAGCTTCTCGGACTATTTGCTCAGCACACAAATTGAATAAGTACGGCGAAAGGATACAACCATGACACACACCTTTCCTGAATTTAAACCACGCAGCATCCCCTTGTTCTGTGTGAATGACAGCCTCTTGATCTATGTACAGGTTCCTCATGAGCACAATTCAGTGTTCTGTAGTTCCCATTCTTCGCAATGTTATCCATAATTTGTTATGATCCACACAGTCGAATGCCTTTGCATAGTCAATAAAACACAGGCAAACATCTTTCTACTAGCCACAAGGTTGGTGGTTCAAACCCACCCAGAGGTGCTTCAGATGACAGGTCTGGCAATCTGCTTCCCGAAGGCTACAGCCTCAGAAACCCTATGGAGCTGTTCTACTCTGTATACATGGGGTTGTCATCAGTCGGAACCGACTCGATAGCAACTGACAACAACATGCTACATTAAAAATATTATTATGGTTTCCAATATAATAATGTGAAACTAATGTGGGGTTATATGTCCCAAACCAGGCATTTAAATACATTTGCTGAATTCACGGAAAAAGCCCTAAATAAAAGATCCAAAGATTTATGTAAAGTTATTCTTTGGTTTCTTTCATATTCCTAATTACTTATTCAAATCCTCAACTCAGTAATCTATCCTAAAAGGAGGCAATGACTAAATCAAGAAATAACAGATGGTTCATAATGAGCAGAACTTTTCTTTACCTTTTCCTGTTTTAAAATACAGTGTTTGGTATTTTTGAACATCATCAGGTGATTCAAACAACATACAAATTCCATTATTTTCAGGAGATGAATAGAAAAGCTTACAGACTTAAGAAAAAGGTTTACCAGTTTCTAACACTCCACTTTCTGGTGTGTAGTGGAAGTTAAATGTATCAGCTCTGGAGTCACACAGTAAGTTTGAATCCAGATATGTTACCTACTGGTGGCACAGTGGTTAAAAGCTATGGCTGCTAACCAAAAGGTCAGCAGTTCGAATCCACCAGCTGCTCCTTGGAAACCCTATGGGGCAGTTCTACTCTGTCCTATAGGGTTGCTAT